TTTATAACTGAACTGGTTGCACTGGACGTGCAGCAGTCCACTATAAACTGAAGTGGTGCACAGTTCAGAAGTTTTCTTTTTCCTCTTAATGTAGAGAAAAAGAATAATCTCTGAACTAGTGCAGCCCAATATAGCCAGTTCAGCTATAAAGACCTAATGTGAAAACCAAGGTTACTCAAGATTACTGTAGGAGCTTGAGTGTGTGAAGTTAGCCCCCTATTATCAAAAATTTGAAAAATTAATCAAAGTTCTGATAGTCCCCCTAATAGTTCTAAAGTTTTCTATCGGTTTTAAAAATAGTTCCGTCATTTAAAGTATCGAAAATAGTACTTAAAGTTATGGGGGCCAACTTCGCATTTTTTGTAACTTTAAAACGATATAACTTTTTTCCTATTAATTTTAGCGTTTTAGTTGTTAAGGATAATTATTAGAGCTCTTTGGAGGGCCATCAGAACTCTAAACAAAATTGCCGATTATCGGGAAAAATTTTCATCTCAATAGGACTTCAAAAATTCAAGTTTCATAGTTTTTTTCATAGTTTTTTTTTTCATTTCGCATCGTAGAGCTTCGAGTCTTAATAATTATCGATAGAATTCTTCGAGGGGCCATCAAAATTCTAAACAGAACTGCCAGTTACCAAGAGAAATTTTCGCCCCTATAGAACTTAGAAAAATTTCAAAGTCGCAACTTCGACCAACGAGAACTTTTTCATTTCACATCGTAGAGCTTCGAGTCTTAATAATTATCGATAGAACTCTTTGCAGGGGCATCGGAACTCTAAACAGAACTGGCGGTTACCGAGAGAAATTTTCGTCCCTATGGGACTTGAATTTTTAAAGTCCTATTGAGATGAAAATTTTTCCCGATAACCGGCAATTCTGTTTAGAGTTCTGATGGCCCCTCAAAGAGTTCTAATAATTATCCTTAACAACTAAAACGCTAAAATTAATAGGAAAAAAGTTATATCGCTTTAAAGTTACAAAAAATGTAAAGTTGGCCCCCCATAACTTTAAGTACTATATTTGGTACTTTAAATACGGAACTATTTTTAAAACCGATAGAGAACTCTAGAACTATTAGGGGGGCTATCAGAACTCTGATTAATTTTTCAAATTTTTGATAATGGGGGGCTAACTTCACATACTCGTTGCAGTGTTGTTAGACGGGTCATGTTTTCTCGCGCATGCGCATTAAATATGATATCATTGAAGTAGTTAATCGCAATGTATTTTATAATACTAATACTAATATATTTCTATAATAATATTACTTAATTTAGAATATGTAATATTATTATAGAAATATAATAGTAATAATAGTATTATAAAATATAGTAAGAAATCGTATTTATAGAATATATATCATAGAATATATTATATAATACATATATATATATATATATATATATATATATATATTATAATATTATCAATATTTTAAATCATAAATTATACAAATTAAACTCGTTAAACTCGTAATTTACATACATTATATTTACATATTTTATTTCTTTTCATATTTCATATTTTTAATTCAAAATTTTTTATCTTTCATATTTTTAATTCAAAATTTTTTAATAATTTAAAAAAGATTAAATGGGAGGGAATATAGAACCCTATTTCATTGCGATTAACTACTTCAGTGATATCATACTCAATGCGAATGCGCCAGAAAATCTGATCCGTCTAACAACACTGATGCGTTGTTGATGCGCTGGGGGATCTAGGAAATTCTATGCGCTATCAATGCGCGCATTAAATGAAACGAAATAATTTTCTCTGCAGCTTATGCGTGAAGGAAGACACCCTATATGTCTTTAATTGGTCTTTAATTGGTCTATAATTTAATAATAAATGTCTTCTCTTATTTGATAAACAGTTCATTATGTTTTCTCGAAAACAGTTATAGATAAGAGAAAACACCCATTAGCAAAATTGTAGGCCTCTATATATATATATATATATATATATATATATATATATATATATATATATATATATATACAGGGTGTCCCGGACTGATCGAATATTTCATAAACTATGCACTTTAGAAAGAAATGTTTCAGACAAAAGTTGTATGGCTTGAAGGGGGCCATCAGATAATGGCAATGATTTGACATGGGAGAGTCATTTGAAAGTCACGTGAAGATCACCGTCAATTTCTTAAATGGAACTCCCTATTTTTTATTACATATTCATATGTAATAAAAAATATGTTCCCCATTTTTTTATTACATACTTATATAATTGTTAATTGCAAATTACATATTTTTTTCTTAAAAACAACTATGTTTTTTCTTTACACCAATTGATTCCTCTCATTATTTTGTACGTAAAAATATTAAGATAAGATAATAAAAAAATGTAAATATTTTACTAGATATTTTACGGTAAAATTAAGAAATGATTTCAAGCCTCATAATTCGGGAAGTACTTAATGAAAACTAACTTAATTATAGTATTTTGGAAAGCTCTCGAGATAAGCTACACGAATATGTAATAAAAAAGGGGGTTCCATTTAAGAAATTGAAGATGACCTTTACGTCAAATGATTCTCAAAGGTGAAATCATTGCCACTATCTGATGGCCCCCTTCAAGCCATACAACTTTTGTCTGAAACATTTCTTTCTAAAGTGCATAGTTTATGAAATATTCGACCGGTCCGGGACTTTTGGGACACCCTGTATATATATATATATATATGCATATACATACATACATACATACATACATACATACATACATACACACGCACGCACGCACGCACACACACGCACACACACACATATACATATAGGGTGCTTTCCATTTAGCGACACAAGTCGACACAAGCGTCATTCTATCTTTTTTCAATGAATAACAATAAACAAAGATAGAAACACTTGTTGAGTATGGGTGCTTTCCATTTAGCGACACAAGTTGACACTTGTCACAAGTGTCAACTTGTGTCGCTAAATGGAAAGCACCCATACTCAACTGTTTATCAAACTCACCTTGTCTGTATATCTTCATCAAATACCTTATATACAGGGTTATATACATATACTCAAATGTTTATTAGACTCATCCTGTCTGTACATCTTCATCAAATACCCTATACAGGATATATGTACAGACATGTACCCTGTATATAAGGTATTGGATGAAGATTGGACCAAAATACTTATGAGCGGGTAGAAAAAGCAGTAAACTGAATAAAAAAAGTCCTTTGCCATTTTGCAATTTTTGCAGTAATTATTGAAATATTAATTAAAAAAAGATTGATGAAAATGAGCATGTAGCCATGGGATGTGTGTTACACAAGCGTGTCCACAGCGAATGCCGCAATGAAAACGCAAAAGTCGAAGAACGCACGACTAAACTTTTCGTTGCTATGTGGCACTCGCCATACCTAGAAAATTTAGAAAACACATCCCACAATCTAGGCGCGCAAAATGTGCATTAATTTGCTAGTTCTTTTTAATTAATATTTCAATAAATATTCAATAAAAATTGCAAAATAATGAAGAACCTTTCTATTCAGTTTATTGTGCTTTATTCAAAATAAACGCCTGAGTCGGTCGCTCTATAACATCCTGTATATATATTATATAAATATATATATTTATCAATAATTATTACGAAAATTGCAAAATGATACCGGACTTTTCTGTTTAATTTATTGCGCTCTATCTACTCACGAGCGTTGATACAACCTTTTTTCGACACTCTATATATATATATATATATATATATATATATATATATATATATACACACAGGGTGTTTCAGACCACCCGTACCACCCATTTAAAAACTAGAGAAATGGTTATTTAAAAAAAGTAAAAACATTTTCTTTATAAATCGGGTGTGCTCTATCGAATGGTGATATTTTCAACTTCCGGTTCTGGAAATAGGCGATTCAGACCGGAAGTGCATTTTTTAAAATGGAACCCCTCAATTTTTCATTGCATATTCTTGTAGCTTACCTCGAGAGCTTTCCAAAACACTATAATAAATTATTTTTCCATGAAGTATTTTTCGAGTTATGAGGCTTGAAATCATTTCTTAATTTTACATAAACCGTAAATATCTTGTAAAATATTCATTTTTCGATTATCTTACCTTAATACTTTTATGTACAAAATAATGAGAGGAATCAATTGGTGTAAAGAAAACACATAGTAGTTTCGAAGAAAAAATATGTAATTTGTAATTAACAATTACATATTTTTTCTTAGAAACAACTATGTGTTTTCTTCACATCAATTGATTCCTCTCATTATTTTGTACATAAAAGTATTAAGGTAAGATAATCGAAAAATGAATATTTTGCAAGATATTTTATGGTTTATATAAAATTAAGAAATAATTTCAAGCCTCATAACTCGAAAAGTACCTCGAAAAGTATGAAAAAATAATTTATTATAGTATTTTGGAAAGCTCTCGAGGTAAGTTATAAGAATATGCAATGAAAAAGGAGGTTCCATTTAAAAAAAATGCATTTCCGGTCTGAATCGCCTATTTCCAGCCGGAACTAAAAGTTGATAATATCACCATTCGATAGAGTGCACCCGATTTATGAAGAAAATGTTTTTACTTTTTTGAAATAACTTCTCTAGTTTTTAAATGGGTGATACAGGTGGTCTGAAACACCCTGTACATATATATATAACACTTTGCAAAGCTTTTTACATAAGTAACGTATAAAAATGTATTCGTCAAAAGTTATCAATGATAGAGAAAGATTATACATATTCATAATGTTAATATAGAAATATAAATAAAACAAAAAATAAAAAAATAATTCTTTAGATTTACAATATTCTTATATTCGAATACCTATGTATATTGATGTTTTTTAGAAAAGTACAATTTTTCAAATATTTATAAGTTTTATAAATTTGTCAAAAATAATTCTATAATATAACGCATGTATAACTTAAAAGAAATAAATAAAAGACGTATGTGCGCGGAAAATGCTATAATAATAAATTATAATATAATACATTACAAACTTACGTGGCACTCCGGGCATCGTAAAGGCCGGTGGCATCATCTGCAACTGTGTATTTGGAGGTGGCAGTAGTGCAGCCGATGTTGGTGGTCTGATTGGTGGCGGTTGACTGGTATCGACTAATTGCTGTTGCTGTTGTTGCTGCGAATTAGCTGACGACTGTATAACGTTCACAATGCCGTCCGTTAATGTAGGAATGGGAGCACCAGCGGCAGCAGCAAGTGCTTGTTGTTGCAGCTGCAACTGTTGTTGTAGTATATCAGCATTCGTGACAGCGTGCTTTAGTTTTCCTGTGACATAAAAATGCAATTAAATATCCGTTGTAGATATAATATACTCCCTCTGCCTTTATAGATATGCAGAAATGCAATAAATGATGTAAGAAATATATAATATGTGTGTATATAATGAAATGTGTATATTATATTTTCTCCCAAATTTTAGCAATTATTTTAGAAGAATATGTTAGCGACAATACTTTCATTAAAATAGAATTTGTCCAGAAATTGTTTATGATCAATCTAAATTACGAGACTTCAGTTTGGCTTTAATTTTACAAATCAGTTCAAGTTACGCATTAATTTAATCTGTACATGTAATTAAGTTGAAACTTGCAAAAATTTTTTAACAACTCTTTGTAATATTTCTTTGTATTTATGCTTGATTAACAGGAAAATAGTAATAAATTATAAACATAAAATAAATCTGAATTACAAATATTAATATTTTTTTTCCTCGGACCATTTTTCCAACTGAATTATATATATATATATATATATATATATATATAGGGTGAGTTTTAATGGTTGTGTCAATATTTTTATCATTTGGAAGATTACCGATCGCAATTTTAATAAATTGATCGATACATAGTCAGTTAATTGGATCGATCGTATCGAAGGCCAAAATATAATGTGTACAATTAACGCAAGTTAAAAGCTGAAATTATGTAGTATGAATTTATTATTATTATTAAAGCTACGCGCTTATAATAATAATAGTAATAATAATAATAATTATTATTATTATTAAATATATATATTATTATATTTATTATTATTATTATTATTATTAAAGCTACGTATACATATTTAATATATGAAAGCAGTAAGAATATATATTTAAAAATTCAGTTCAAATTTAACACTTTTATGTTTTATGTAAAACTTTATTTCAAATTCCGTACTTATTTTTATGATAAAAATTTTTATTATTGTTATACGCTAAAGGTATGTAGTATTTCTGCCTTCTTGAAATAAAATCACGCAATTGTTCCACAAGAAATACATTCTTATGAAACAATTGCGTAATTTTATTTTAAGCAGGAAAAAAATTTTTTGCTGCATATTTTTAGCATATAAAACAATAAAAGTTTATCATAGAAATAAATGCGGAATTTGAAATAAAGTTTTATATGAAACGTTAAAGTGTTAAATTTGAATTGAATTTTTAAATATGTACTTCTTCCGCTTTAATATATCGAATATGTATAATAATAAATCCCTAATTTAATCACAGTAAAATAATAATAAATATAATAACATATATATTTAATAATAATAATAATAAATGTGTAGCTTTAATAATAATAATAAATCCACACTACATAATTTCAGCTTTTAACTTGCTTTAATTGTACACATTATATTTCGGCCTTCGATACGGTCGATTCAATTAACTGACATCTATGTATCAATCAATTTATTAAAATTGCGATCGGTAATCTCCCGTATGATAAAAAAATTGACACAACCACAACTCATCCCTGTATATATTTGTCGTGACCTATCTCTTTCAGTTTAAAAGAGACGCGCGCGCACGCGTGCATAAATAAGATTGAAAAATAAACCTTTTAAATAGGGAGGTAATGTATCTTCATCTATCATTCCGCCTTCTTCCAATAACTCCAAGTCTTGATCAGTAATGTTAATCAATTTATTCCAAGGGATGTAACTAACGCCCAATTCTACTTCCCAGTAGTCCTTCCATTCTTTGCCTTTTACACCTTTACCAGGCGCCCACGCTAACTGTAATTGAAATAGATGTGTATGATAAAATATTTCAATGTTATTTAAATTGTGTGTGTTGCAACTATTATTTTTTACCGTAATAGCTTTGCCTTGCATTTTATGGTTTTTCAATTTTGTAAGCGCCCGATATGCATCCTGCCTTCGATTCATACATATAAAAGCACAACCTCTCGGTGAAATTAAGTCAATACTAACAATATCGCCAAGTTCCCCAAATGTATCTGACAATTCTTCTTGATGCACAAGTTTTGATAAATGCCCCACCCAAAGTGTCGTACTGCAAACTATGTTTTAAAAGCGTATTTATTATTCTTTCTTGATTTACGAGATGTATAAAAATCTTTATCTTTGAACACATACCACTCAATTTATCCCTGACTATCGGTGGCAAACCGCGTTTGCGTCGCTCTCTTTCTTTTTCCCGTTCTTCTTCCGTCAACTTTTCTCGGCTATCCTCACGTTTCCTATCGCGTCCTCTGTCTCTTGAACGAGATCTATAAAAAAATAGATATATATATATATAAAATTAACAATATAAAAATATAGACTTAGATCATTCATTTTTTAAATCATCAATTTTATATCTCTCAAACTTTAATTATGAAAATAGTATGATTTCATTCTAATTTTAAATAATTACCTTCTTCGCCGCGATCTGCTTCTAGAACGAGATTTTCTATCTCTGTCCCGATCTCTGTCTCTATCTCTATGCCGTGGAGACCGAGACCGACTATGATGTCGATACCGTTCTGGCGATCTACTTTGTGAACTCGTATTCTCGCAATTTACAATTTCTACACTGCTACTATCACGTCTGGTGTTGTTTCTGCAAGAGATACTTATTTAGATCAAGAGAATAATCCTTAAGTAATTTATCGAGAAAGAAAATTATTATTATTATGTAAAACTATTATTTGAATTACCCAGAGTAATCTTGCGTTTCTTGACGCTCGTCAATTAACGGACTCTTTTGATTTTGATGTGCAGATTGATTAATTTGTCTAATATTTGATAAAGATTGAGACGTAAATGGTAAAGCTGGTGGATAACCAGGTGGTGGCTGACTCATATCTTGTAACATATTGCTGTTCACATTTGATGCATAATTTTGAGTATTTGGTTTTAAAATATCAGATGGCTTTAATTCACATTCGGATGCAAATGGAAGATTCTATAATAGAAGAAAAAGATTTAAAATAAAATTAACTATTTTTTGTATATCTTACATAATAAATAAGAAAGTAAATTACAGGAACAGTTTGTGCTAAATGTTTATCAAATTCTTCTTCTTGCTGTTTCATTTGTTGCAGCTTGCGCATCTTTTCTTCCATTTCATGTTGTGAAGAAGCATTGCTTTGCATAGTTTGTTGTAAAGTTTGCAATTGTCTCAAAACCTTCAAATAATATAATATATGAAATAAAAATGTTTTTTAAAGTTTATCATATTGCTCTTCTTGATATTCTTGATATTTACTACCTCTGGATTTGCTAACAATAGTCCTAGGCTCTCTAGACTATTGTTTGTTGAAATTGTATTATGCTGAGTGTTGCTTGATGCAGTTGCATTTGGAGAATTAGAAATAACTACATCATCATCCTCTTCCTCGCCATAATCAAAATCTAGCAATTTTTTATCAAATTTGACTGAACTTTTTGGTTCACTTGTGACATCTTGCTTTTTCAAAAGTAATTGTTGTAAACATTGTAATTGATCGAAAATAGAAGGGTCCATTTGACTGGAGTTAGATTGATTCTGTACAAAGAAACAAATTCAATAAAATGTGGATCAAATCCATAATGTAAACATAAACATTGATATTACCAAAAGTTTATTGGCATTGACTATATTCGCTGCTTCTACTTTTGTTTGTGCAAGCCATACCGGATCGATTGTTTTTCCAGTTGAAAACAATTTTGAATCCTTTACAGTATTTTTAATGGTAGATGGTGGAGTCTTAGTAACTGCACTTACATTACTTATATTATTTCCAGATGATGTATTTAATGTACCTAGCATTAAGATATTAATTAAATGTATTAATAATAAAGATTTTAAAAAACATGGACATCTTTAAAGATGTATATTTTTTTACCTTACATTATAAAAAAAGAATACTTTAAATTAAATATTTTTTTTCTATTATATTTACCATTGCTATTTACTGGCTGTTCCTTATGTATTGGATGATTTGGATCTGCTAGATCAAAAAGCGGTTGAATAACTTCTGGTGGGAAAACTGCATTCTTTTGCCAAAGATTCAGTACACGTATAACTTTGCTTTTATCCTCTTGTGGGCACTTCAAAAGATTGAGAAAGGTAGTCTGCATATTTTTTGCAAATCGTGGAGCAAATACATCTTTCTCCATTCCAAACTGATGTCGGGATTGTCTGACAATTGAATCTATTACATATAATCCTGGTACTTTATATTCTGCCTTGCACTAAACATATATAAAATAAAGTTACAAAATATGCAAATATTATTATTGAAAAAGATATGTGTATATAATATATATATATATATATATATATATATATATATATATACAGGGTGAGTTTTAATGCTTGTGTTAATCTTTTTATCATGCGGGAGATTACCGACTGCATAATAAATTGGTTGGTACATAAATGTCAATTATTTGGATTGATCATATCTAAGGTCCGAATATAATGTGTACAATTAAAGCAAATTAATAGCTGAAATTATGTAGTATGGATTTATTATTATTATTATTATTATTAATAAAGCTACATATTTATTATTATTACTATTATATTCGGGCCTTCAATACAGTCGATTCAAAAAATTGACATTTATGTACCGATCAATTTATTATGCAGTCAGTAATCTCCCGCATGATAAAGATTAACACAAGCATTAAAACTCACTCTGTATATATATATATATATGTCTGTACATATTAGTATTTAAATAAATAATTACCTTTTGAATAAATTTTTCCACACTTTGTACAACATGCTTATAGAATTTTATTGCTTTGATGGCTCCTCGTGTAAGTGAATTCATTTTGGCTTTTGAAATCGGTGGTTTAACATCATAAAGAGCGGATAGCTGCAATCAAATTACAATTAATCATATTTCCTCAGATAGTAAATCATATTTATCAATCGTACAAACCATTATATATATATATATATACAATCATTTTTTTCTTCCAATATAACTATGACGCAAACTATAGCATATATTCTAATATAGAACGAATATTATTATATCCGCTATTGAAGTTAGTGCATTCAAGGATAAAGAGAGAGAATCAAGTGTAATATAGTTTAGTATCCAACATACAGGGAATACGGCTCAAAACATAACTTGCATCTTGTTATCTGATAACTCGGAGATAAAAGAGATTGAGATCGGGCAAAAAGCGAGTCAAGTTGAAAATAAAGCTCAAGAAAAGGGAGAATTGCCCCTACGACAGTGACCTCCGAAACGTAGCGGAGAGGTTCCCCTCCCCCTCCCCCCCAATCCGAGGAGTGTCGCTTACCTCCGCGTTGAACGATTTCACTGCATCCATCGCGAGGCAAAAAAAGGAGCCGTCTTTGTTGTATTATTATTATTATTGTTGTTGTCGTCGTCGTCGTCGTCGCCGTCGTCGTTAAATCTCACGTAACGTAATGCGATGTCCGCTTTAAGACTCGCATGTCTCCTTCACCACACACTATGTAGCCGAGCCATACTGTCCAAGATGGCGAATCGTATTTCCCGATATGCATCGCGAGACGGCCGAAGAATGACGTCACATTTGTCGTCCGCTGTCGGTAACATTGGAAGGATATATCGATCGGCATCCATGACAATGGTATTTTCCATTTAGCGACACAAGTCGACACAAGAGTTATTCTATATCTTTTTTATTCACTGGATATTGGAACAGAACCAGTGTTTGCTGGTATCTAGATAAAATTATCTAGATAATTATCTAGATAAAATTATCTAGATAATTATCTACATAAAGAAACGGATCATCTTTATCTTTAACTAGATGAAGAAATACAAAGTATCTTTATCTTTATCAGATAAAAATATGTCATCTTATCTAAAAATTGTCTAAGATGACGTTTTCATTATGCAAAAGAGTTTTCCAGGCGAGCTTCTAAAAATCTATCTAAAATATCTAAAATTTTTGAGGAGCTTAAAACTTAGGCCCAGTTCCACAATCCAGTTAATCCGAGTTTAAGTAGTGAATGGACCAATCAGGATTCAGTTTAACGTATTAAACTCGGATTAACTCGAGTTGTGGAATCAGACCTTAATAACTTAAAATGAGAAAAGAACGCCGTCGTCTTTTTTATTATGTTCATTTATTTAAATTTACTTACTTGTAATTGTTTTACTTAAATTTGTGCAATGTATTAATGTATATTTTATAAAAATGATATATGTATTGTTACACATTGATTATTATATTATTAATATATTATAAATATATTATAAATATAAATTAATAAATAAATATTTATCATATCATTTATATACCTTTTTGTTATTATTTAAATATTCTTTAGGAAAAGAAAAAGAATATGTGTTTATGATTTTAATATTCCATTTACAATCTGCGTCACATTTTTTACAAATATTTATATTTTTATGAAATAAACAAGTATCTAGATAATTATCTAGATTATCCCAATAATTATCTCATCTTTCATCTAGATTAAGTAAAAGCAAAATCATTTTTATCTCATCTAAGATAAATTTACGGATTTTTATCTTTATCTTTATCTAGATAATTTTGAAATTATCTACAGCAAACACTGAACAAGACAGAATGACGTGTTCGTCTCGATTTGTTAAATAGAAAGTCCTCGATATAGAATGAAATGTTAAATAATTTTAAAATTACATTTAAATTTTAAAATTATACTCAACATGAATTATCCCCAATAGCCAAGTCTGCTAAAGCAGATCTTGTCAGGGAATCTGTTAGAAATTGTTGTCGACAGAAAGATTACAGAATCGATGCAGGTTCTGATATATCATGTGATGTCGCCAGAATGTCAACAGAAATATAACAAAGCTTGTTAACATAATCAGTTACCAGATTGGCAGCAAAAATCGAACAGATTCTGCCGGCATAACTTAGTGGCAGATTGGTGGCAGAAATTGAACAGGATCTGTGCGATGCAATTTGACAACAGATTGTCGGCAAAAATCGAACAGGATCTGCGCATACAATCTCTGATAGCAGATTGATGGCAGAAATGGAACAGGATTTGCATGATTCGATAGTTCTTTCACTTACCGCTACGTGAGCTGTACTTTCTCGTAATTGAATTTCTGTCAGAAATATATATAAAGTCACGAATATGAATAAAAGACTAAAAATATAGTAATTATCATTTTAATTTTTCACTTTAATTTCTGATATCTGATACAAGCAAATGAGAGTCAGAATTCAGAATATTAAACTGATTGGAATCAATATAATATATGGAAAATTATTCATGCACTGGCTATTTGAGGCATAAAGCAAGAATTTAATTCTAAATAAATTACATCTCAAGTTTTACAAGTTACATTTACTTTATTATTAATTTAATTAAATAGAATTGAAATTAGTCCTTCGCTATATGAAATATAACTATGATATAACATATTACATATATGTCATTTTCTATAAGAAAATTCTAATTAACTTGCCGATAATATTGTTATTTAGCACCTGTAATAATCAATTTTGTTGCATTTATATAATATTAATAAAAGTGCAAATCTTGTGAAATTTCTACTGTCCATTTGCCATCAGGTTGCATCCGCAGATTCTGTTCGGTTTCTGCGGACAATCTAACATCAAATTGCACGCGCAGATCCTGTTCGATTTCTGCTAACAGTCTGACATCAAGTCATGTTAGCATTGATAGCAGATCCTGCTCAGTTTCTGCCGACAATCTGATATCCGATTCTGTGAGCAGGTTCTGCTAGCAGATTAGAAGCAGAATGAGGACGCAGTAGATGTCATTCTGCTGACATGGTTTGATCAAATCTGTTGCCAGTCTGTCGACATACTGCTTACATTTTGCTTATTGGGTATTATATGGTTACCCAGATAGCACTGGACGTTCCAAAGATGTTCATTTTAAATCCAGTTTATATCCGTACGTCCACGAACATAAAATGGACATTTAAAGAATATCCGTGTTGGAATTAAAATGGATGTCTTATTAGCAACATCTTTTGGATGTTCAATTTATGTTCGCATTTGAATTTCTTATTTATATGATTTTACATTTATTATAAATTTTATATTATTAAAGCAATATTCTTAATATACATTAATGTTTAATATAGATAAAAAGATTGACCAATCGTTTTTTCTTTTACAATTAATATATAAATAAAAGTTGCCCTTATTAATATATAAATAAAAGAGCCCTTATTAATACATAAATAAAAGAGCAAACTCAGATAGCACATATGACTAAAAGACGACTAAAAGATGTCTTTTGGTTTTTTCTACTATTTGGGAAACATTAAAAATCAGTATTTTTATTTTATTTGATAAAGATGTTAAATTGCGCATGTGCGTTACGTCATCTTTATCATATTTGGCGCCAAAACTTGGCGAAGCGCAAGGCATGAAGCCGAATCTACATTAGTCGTATCGTAACGTCGCAAGTCGTAAGTCGTAAGCAAATTGATCAACCATAATCGATTATTTCAAAAATAATCAACCATGATTGGTTAATTTGCCTACGACTTACGACTTGCGACGTTACGATACGATTAATGTAGATCCGGTTTGAGGCCCGTTCTACAATGAGTCGTAAGTCATAGGCATATTGATCAATCATGGTTGATTATTTTTGAAATAATCGTCTATGGTTGGTCAATTTGCCTACGATTTACGACTCATTGTAGAACAGCTCTAGAGATAATACCTACGACGTATCTCATCATACGTCTTCGCAAATATGCGCACGTGTTGAATGCATATATATAGTACTCCTATATTGCTAATTCAGTAGGATGAATGAGCGTAAAACATTACGGTGCAGACGATACCTTCTCTCGCACAGTTAATCTGTTTTAGCACTTTTGCGCATGCCTCGGACATAGCATTTAAATATATATATATAAATATATATAAATATAGTCAAATATATATATGGCATGCCTCGGACATAGCATTTAACCTAATATTTATATTTGTTACGGAGTAGAAAAGAAAGTATGTACAACGTTCACATCAAAAATTTTTTTTCGGTTTTTTATAGATTTGATTAACAAGAAAAAATTTATAAATAAAATAATAGTGGGTAATAAAATATAAAATAATTGAAATAAATAGAAGAGTTAAAATTAATTAAAATTTATTAATATTTTCATCAATAAGTTGAAATATGAAGTAATAATCAAACAATGTCAACAAAATGTCAAGGTGCTGCTTGAAAACTAAACTTATATTAATAACTAAACTTTATGAATGCAAAATATAGAAATAAAGCCTTCGAGTAAGTTGCAAATAAGTAGACAAATTATTGTTTTAAAACTAGATTTTTATTAGAAGTACTTTTAGTTTTGTAGCTAAAGATTACATTTTCAATTATAATTGACTGTACTGAAAGTTTGCAGTGGAAAGCAGGACATTTCATATTTTTGATATAAAATAAATTTGGTTTTTCGCCTGAAAATTGTAAGACAGCGTATAAAAAATGAAAAAAAATGTTTCACAAATAAGTATTTGTTTTTTTTTATTATTAATATTACAAAAGCTTAATTATTAGTATTATTAATTACTTAATATTGCAAAAGTAACTATTACTAATTCATATTATAAAAGTAAAAATAAAAAAATATAAAAGTATAAACTCAAAGTACAAATTAGTATATTATTGATTATTAAATAGAACTAATTTCGTAAATTTTGTACAGATATATTTATCTTTTTCACAGATATATTTACATTTTATTAGCTTTATTAGATATATTTACACTTTATTAGATATATTTACATTTTATTAGCTTCATGAAAAAGTCTTGTGTTAACATATAATTCTATTATATATTTACACAACTGAGTTTGATGATTATCTAATGTATCTTGCAAACATACATAATCATCCATTATTTGATTTGAAAAAGGTCCATTGCCTATTCGATGAAAAATTGTATGGACTAAAAAGCGTTTTATATTGATTTTATTAAACTGATTCGAATATTCTCTGATAATTTGCTCAGATATCCTACACACATCTTTTGATAGTATTAAATAAGGCCCTTCATTTTTTAATTTTGATAATAGTGGCATTTCAGTTCCAATTAATTGATTTTTACACACATAACAATTAACTATTCGTTGAAGTTTATAACTTATGAATCCAGCAATGTACTGAGTAATATTGTCAACATATGCGGTCAAATCCAATAATGATGTCACATATTCATGATCCAACGCAATGATTTCATTTAAATTTTTAGCATCTCCAATGGAATATATTAAATTTTTAAGTCGAGATGAGACGTGCAGAATTCCGATTCCATCGAATAGACAATTGCCGTTTTCAAATTCACAAAGTTCATTACGAATTAACAAACGTTTGTAAGCACTTTACAATTGTAATGCATTGGGATTGTTATTAAATCCCTCACAATCTCCTATTGAGGAAAAGAACATTTCTAAATAATCTTGTGATAATTTGTATGTTAACAAATAGGATATTTGCAAAAGCTTTAACTTTTGGAACAATGAAAAGATGTTTCGTAGACAAACAATCAATCCAAGAAAGCTTGTTTTTCTATTAGTATTTAAAATAGATGTGCCAGTTTCATTACACAATGAAATAATATATTGTTCTAAGTTTTTAGCATGTATTTGCATAGTTAAGTAATTGTAGATCAGATGATCCATCAATAACACGATATCACTGTCTAACAGTCGAAGGGCTTGGCAATAGTTTATCCCATGTTTTTCTTATAATTATAAGATTTTGGGGAATAAAAGTGTACAGTTAGAACAAAGCTTCGAAGCGCTGGAGAATAATGTCCTTTTTTTTTTTAATTTCCTACATATAATTTCTTTTATTTTTGAAGGCATTATATCCTAAATAAAAATAAATGAAATAATATGAAAAATAATAAGCTATACAAATATATTTTAATCTGATATATATATATAATAAAAAATCATGATTTTTTAAAATTCTGTTCCCATTTTTTTACATCAATGTCCTGAAATTAGATGATCAACAGTTTATCATCTTACAGACCATTCCAAAATACGTTGAATATCCTGTTATCAATTTCAATGATAGAATTTCAATTATAAAATTTAGCTTACCAACATTACATCTTCAGCATCTTTCGAATCAATCCTTTTTTACAGATACCATTTGCTGCAAAGAGACGATTTGTTTATTTAGTCTCCTATTCGTGTCTTGTAAACGTTTAATTTGTTTAGACTTCTTCTTATCAGTCAGCTTCACAAATGATAATGTTCTTTTAGCTCTTCGAGGAGTTGCGACATCACACAGATCAATTTCAGATATACATCGTGCCTTTGCAAACCGACGTTTTTCCACTGGAGTAACGGACTCTGGAATATCAAATTGTAGAGTATTGAACTCTCCAGTAACAGGTCTCTGGAATATAAGTTGTTCTTCATGATCTTCATTATTTTCAGTATCTGAAATAAAAAAAAAATTTTTATAAATAAATCGATATTAATATTATTTTTAAATGTAATTTCCATTATATTATCATTTTGTGATTCAATATCAAGTATATAAAGCACATTACTTCAATAAAAATATATTTATATAAAAAATATTAATTGTAAAATACAACAAACAAATTACCAATATTGCTGTTTGATGACGTCAACTGCTCTTCTATTCTGTCATCAATAGTGATGCTATCTGCAAATGTTTTGGGGGAAATGTTTGTCGCTGTCTCACCATTATTTTCATGTTTTCTAAAAGAATTAAGGAAAAATTTATTTCTGTAAATAATTATTAATACTCATCTTTTTCAATGCTTTTTTATCATATCTATAGTGATTTACAGGTATAGTGATTTACAGGTTTTCTTTTATTGCTTCAGTTGTATTTAAATGACTTACTTTCTTTCACTACTGGATGTAGAACACCTATTGTAGGGATCGCTCCACGATGTAACCTTAGTCTTTTATTTTTTATTCTAAAAACGCTGGATTCGAAATGTCTAGTACAAATATAAACGTTTGATACATCATCCTATTCATTTAGCCCACACGCGTTTAGCCACTGTTGATGAGTGTGTATCAATGTAAGACTTTTTTTGGAAAATCTGAAAATAAATTTCTTTTATTAATCTTAATAGCCTAAATTTTGAAAAAAAAGTTAACAAGTATATTGAATCATGAAGCAAAAAAGTAAGGATTATTAGCATAAATTTTTTTCCACCAGTTGCATTTTTAAAGAAAAAATGTTTGACGTCAAATAATTTTAAAGCATTATGATTCCATTTAATGTTATTTTTCTACGAAAAATATGATTAAATAAAAAACATTTCTTTTAATTTCATTATCTCTTTTGCTTCGCTCTCACTGTAATTAAACACTATTCAACAATGAATTTTATACTTATCGATGTAAAACAATGTTTTCGTTTTTATTATATTTATTCTCACATAAATAGCACTTTTCAACCATTCTTTGCTTTAAATGAAATTTATTATAAAGAACGTAAGAAAACGTGATTGACGCGAACGTTGTACTTTTCTTTCTATTCCGTACTAATATAAATGTTAGGTTAGGTTAAACGCTATATTCGAAGCATGCCATCTTCTTCTTCTTTGAATTTAAATGGCCACCTCTGATCTTCTTCTTCTTCTTTAAGTTTAAATGGCCACCTCCGAAAAATGATCGTGAGATTCAGGCCAACAACAGGTGTAGTTATGATAAACTGAAGGTGGTAATATTAAAGTATAATGGTATTAAATCTGCAATTTACAGGATTTTAGGAAGGAAAGGAGAGCACATATAAGTCCAGGGAAAGGTTCCGCCAGTAGTTCTCGAATTTTGTAAGGTTGTGTCAAACTCTTGAATCTTCTAAATTGATTGAGGAGGAGAGTCCTTTGTGTGCTGAATAGAGGACAGCTCCAAAAAATGTGGTCTGCGTCTTGATACCGGAATCCACACTGGCAAGATGGATCTGCAACCAGATTACAGCGGTGTAAGCTGTAGTTGAGTGCGTAGTGGCCACTTCTTAACCTGCAGCAGGTAACAATGCTCTCTCTGTCGAGTTTGAGTTTGTGGAACCAAGGTTTCAGTGTGATTTCATTGAAGGTTGCAAAGTAAGACACTCCTTTGTTTTTCCCCTGGATTTTAAGAAGTCTGGAAGAGGATTCGATGTATCTTCTTCGTGGAATAGAGAAGAAGTCTGAATGTGGGAGTTTCTTGTCCGTTAGCTTTCCTGCTGAGACGGCCTTTTTCGCTAGAAAATCTGCAGTTTCGTTCCCAAGAATGCTTGAGTGAGCCGGGATCCATATGATAATGGCTTCTAAACCGTTAAGTTTTATTTCGTAGAGCTTTTGCTTTATGGAAAAAATGATATAGTTATAGGAATGAGCCATGTTAATGGAGAGAAGGGCGTCTGAGACGCTTTTGGAGTCCGTAAAGATGACTGATTTAGAAATTGAATTTGAATGAATGTGTTCAAGTGTGTGAAGAATGGCAAGGGCTTCAGCAGAGAAGATGGAGGAATAGGGCTGCACTCTGTACATTAGTTGGAGATGAGGTGACGGAGAGTAGATGGCAAATCCTACGTAATCCTCGGGGTTATTTTTGGAAGCGTCTGTGTAAAAACAGGTGTGAAAATGGATAAAAGCGTTATAGATGTCCATAAAGATGAGTTGCGGTACAGAGGCGTTTTTAATGTTTTCTGATTCTATTGGAGAAGTGATGATGACAGGAGGAAAGAATGTCAGTGCGTCGTAATTTGTAGAATAGAGTGCCGGGAAGTCGAATTTTTTGATATGAGTTTTCATGGGGAGAAATTTATTGAAAGTTTTGAAGAGTAAAAATTTTTCCGAGGGGTTGGTTTTGCGGGTTTTACGTGAATACCAAAGGAGTCCGAAAAGTTTATCAATAAGGGGATGAGAATCCAGGGCAAAGATTTTGAGAATGTATCTGGAGGTTAAGTATTCAAATCTAAATCTTAAAGGACCTTCCCCGGCTTCCGCGAGGACCACATTAGTTGGCGTAGTTTTGCGCAAGCCTAGGCATGCTCTAAGCGAACGGAGTTGTATGCTTTCGAGGTGACGCAAGGAGGAAAAACTGTTATATGGAAAGGAGAGGCAGGCGTATTCCATGGATCCTCTGATCAAGGATTTATATATGAGTAGGAGGGAGAGGGGAGACCCTCCCCACCATGTACCTCTCAACATGTTGATGATGTTTAGGAGTTTTGAGCAGCGAGTAGTAAGCATCTGTATGTGCTGGTTACCAAGGAGGCGGTAATCCAGGATAACTCCAAGGAATTTGTGAGTGTCTGATGATTGAATAACGGTGTTGCAAAGGTTAATGGAGAAACTGCAAGGATTGACTCGTTTCTTGATAAAAACTATGAGGGAAGTCTTTGCGGGAGAGACATTAAGACCTCTGGAGGAGAGGTATTTAGAGGCTTGATTCGCCGAGCTTTCCAACGCCACCAGGGTCTTGTCGATGTGACGAGAGCTGACAAAGATAACGATGTCGTCTGCAAATTGAATCAGTTCGCATTCTTTACCTATATGTTTATGGAGTTTTGAAACATAGATGTTAAAGAGGATAGGACTAAGAATTGAGCCTTGGGGGACACCTTTGTAGGTGTAACGAGTATCAGATACTTCTCCGTTGTAAACGAATTGGAGATTTCGAGAATGAGTAAGGGAATAAATGAAGTGACACAAGACTGGAGGCATGCCAAGGTCGATAAGATCTGAGATGAGGATGGACGGAATGACGTCGTCGAAAGCGTTGGAAAGATCGAGGAAAAGACAGGCAGTGGAAGTGCCTCTGATGAAGCTGGTGTGTATCTCGGTGGTGAGTATAGATAGGTTATCATGGGTTGAACGGAATTTACGGAAACCAAACTGTGAGGTGGGAAGTCTTTCATATTTCTCGAGCCACCAGTCGAGTCTGATGAAGATTAACTTTTCTAAGATTTTCAGGTAGCAAGAAGTGAGTGAGATGGGCCGAAATTTTCCGGGGGAAGACTTGGGAATAAGAAAGACGAGTGAACGGCTCCACGAGTCAGGAAATTCTCTAGAGAAGAAGAGATCGTTTAAGATAGAAAGAAAGAGGGGGAAATATTCCGACGGCAAGTTGGAGAGGATAAAGTAGTCGATCTGATCAAGGCCGGGAGAGGACTTTTTGTTTTTCAGGGGGAGACAGACATGAAGGAGTTCGTCGAGGCGGAAGGGATTATCAAAGATGAGGTAGGAGTGAGGCCGGAAGGGGGGAAGATGAGTCCATGAGGGTTTGTATAGGCATGATGGGGGGGAGATGGTGTTGATGAGCTCTAAAATAAGTGGGGGCAGCTCTGTTGGAAGATAAAGGAGGAGGCGAGGTGGTGAGAAATCTGTTCTTAAAGCTCTTGATGACTCTCCACAATGTAGGTAAGGAGGTTGTAGAAGTGATGGATTCACAGAATAGTCTCCAGCCGGATCGTTTGGCGTGACGGAAAGTCTTTCTTGCAAGAGCTTCTTCTTTTTTAAGAATAAGGAAGTTCTGATTGGAGGGGAGTTTACGGAAATTATAGAGGGCCCGCTTCCTACGATCCACCGCCTCCTGGCAGGATTCGTTCCACCACGGGGCGGGAGAGTGGGTGAAGGCAGAAGGCTGGGTTTTATGATGGTTGAGAGATGTTTTTTGGGGTGTTTGATGATTGGGGGTGGAGAAATTATTAGAAACTTGTGAGTGAGTTGAGATGAGGGAGGTGATTGTATTAAGAAGAAAATTATGAAAAGTTTCGTATTTGTCGATAGGAGAGAGGGCCGAGTTGACAAGATCAGACAGTAAGGGAAAAGAAAGCGAAAGAGAAGTGTGGAGAAATTTACGATTAAGTTTGGAAGTTTTAAGCTTATGGGAGAAAAAGGAGCGGGACTGAATAGGGTAATTAAGGTTGATTATAGTCGGGATATGGTCGCTACCAAGTAAATCGTCGTAAGAGAGCCAAGAACAATAAGGTGTTAGGCCAGAGGAGACGAAAGTTAAGTCGATGACAGAGGGGGTGTAGGAGGAGTAGGAGAAGTAAGTGGGAGTTCCGTCGTTGATAGCGGAGAGTGAAAAGTCTTGGGAAGCGTCTAGAAGCGCGATTCCCATAGGGTCGGAGCGATGACAGCCCCAAGAGGCATGGTGAGAATTGAAATCCCCTGTGATAATGGTATAGCCTGTTGTAGGAAGGGATTTGAAAAGGTCTTCCCATATGGAGAGGGGAGAGGAGGAAGGATGTTTATATATGGAGATGATATGGATATCTGTGCGAGAGGAAGGAATGGTTATTGCAATGGATTCGAGAAGATTATCCGAAGAGAAAACAGGGTAAAGTTCTGTGAAAGGGATTGATTTCTTGACAGCAAGTAACGTGCCGCCAGATTTATTTGAGGGGCCGTCTTTGCGGAGAATATTGAAGTTTTTGAGGGAAAAGGTTTTTTCTGGTGTAAGCCAAGTTTCAGAGATGGCTAGGATATCGAATTGATCACTAATGTAGGTAAGTGAATCTTTTTTGGTAAGGATACCATGGCAGTTCCATTGAAGAAGTTTAAGGTTATTTAAAAAGGATTTACTAGACATGTTAATTGGAGGAAGGCGGGGAAAGATTTTCGAGATTAGTGGAGAGATTGCGAATGGATTGGATGATGGTAGGAATGAGGTCAGAGGTATTAGCAGAGTTGAGTAACGGAAGGAGCTCAATGATGAGTTGAATAACAAGTTTGGTAGTATCTTGAGGAGAGATGGGGAGGTTAGATGGGGGAGAGGGGAGAGACGGGGTGGGGGTCTTATTGATAGAGTAATGAATGGGGGGAGGAGGAAGGTTAGTGAGGGAAGAAGAGGGAGGGTATGGAGGGAATGAGACAGAAGGTCGAGGAGATGCAGGGTAGGGAGGGGAGTGGGAGGAGGAGTTCGGATTACGATTGACATGGTAGTTATGGGGGAGGGAGTACAAAGGATGTGATAGAGGGGGAGAAAGGGAGGGGGACAAAGCTTTCCTTGGGAATTACGGCTGACTCTATAAGGAGTAGGAGGGCGAGGGAGAGGGGGGGGAAAATTCTTTGCGACTTGTGCATAGGTAAGGTGTGGAGACGTGTAGTTGTGTACGGGGGATGAGGTGAAAGGTTGCGAATGAGAGGCATGGCTCATGAGATGTGGTGAGGAGCGTGGTGAGTTAAATGAGGGAAAGTCTTCAGAGGAAGTGGAAAAGGAGGAGGGAGCTCTAGTACCTTTTAGTATTTCCCTTGCGTCGACGAACGTGATATTCCTGTAGGCCGCGTATTTTCTAATGTCTCTTTGTAGCAGGACCTCCGGGCAGGTAGATGAATCTGCGCGATGTTCTCCTTGGCAATTGATGCACTTAGGAGGGAGATCTTTCCGTTGACATGGTTCTTCTTCAGGTAGTGAATGTCCTTTTTCACCGCAGTGAGCGCATCTAGGTGAGCTTTTGCAGTTTGTTTTTATGTGTCCGAATCTATAACATTTATGACAAAGTGTAACTCTTGCTATATAGGGAGACACCGAGTAACGGACATGAAACAAATAGACATGCTTGGGGATTTTTTGTCCTTCGAAGGTGATCGCTACAGTGAGAGAAGGAGTGTAAGTAGTCGCAGAAGCTGAGGGACTTGACGTTTCCGAGTGTGTTTGGGGAGGTGAGGTACCTCTACGGTTTAGTCGATTGACTGCTATAATCTTAAAAGGGCTGGTAATGTCTTGTAGAATTTGCTGGTCGGTGAGATCAGGCGGAACGTCTCTAATGATAGCTTTCCTGGAAGTGCGTGAAGGAGGAATAAAAATTTCAAAATCTTTTGCTGCTAATATTTGCTTGTTGACGGCGGCGTTAGCGCCTTCTCTAGTTTTGAAAAAGATAGAGGCTTTGGAGAAGCCTATTCTTTTGATCTCTAAAATATCGTGAAGTCCTGACTCACAAGCGGCTTTTCCTACTGAGATAGGGTGAAGCTTGGATTTAGGGTTAGATGAGCGTTGAACGTGAACTTCAAAGGGTCCTGCGTTACAGTCCGTGTATCTGTTATTGCGTATCACTTCTGTGAGTGATGTCGCTGAGCCCAGTTGAGATATTTGGTGGGATGAAGCACTAGTTTCAGAGGCTGATCGTGAGATTTTAAGAGAGGATTGAGAGGCATCTTTCTCTTCTAAAATAGGTCGTTTACGAGGTGTGGATGAGTTTGCCTCAGTGATGAGAGACTTGAGGGCAGCGGTCATGTCTATCTCTTCTAATTCCATGTCCGAGGACATTTTCGAGAGGTAATGTAGATAAAATTTTTTTTTTTTTTTTTTTAAATAAATTTTTTATTCTTTTTGTTACTTACAGATACCAAGATGACGTGGTTATTCAGTCTGATAATGAAGGCCAGATGACAATATGCTCTCCAGGGGTCAGGGGATAGGAGGAAGGGAGGGAGTGTTACAAGGCACGGCACAAAGGCCGAGGCCGAGAACAAAGGCACGTGAATGCCCGTCGTATATGTGGCTTTGATGTGCTCGATTACAGATGAACCGCCCAAAACTTAATATATCCAGCGGAAGCTCTCAGTGAGTTAAACGAAGGTTGCTCGATAAAGGCACTCGAGGTAGCCCAGAAATGGGCTGGTTTATGAAACTTTGCGGAAGCACTCTAAAACGCGTCACTCTATGAACGTATCCAAGATGGCGGTCCCCACCTCTGATCTAGAAGTGATCAGTGTAGAGAACCTCTAGGAGAGAGAATGGACAACTGATCATGTGACATGTGATCAAGCTTTTTCATGATTGGCTGGCAGAAAATGTATCAATTTTAGCTATTGCGACGCCAATGCAAAATATCATGACACAAATAGGTTATATTAACCTATTTGTGTGTCATCATATTTTGCATTGGCGTCGCAATAGCTAAAATTGATACATTTTCTGCCAGCCAATCATGAAAAAGCTTGATCAATTGTCCATTCTCTCTCCTAGAGGTTCTCTAGATCAGTGTATTCGGGCCAACAACGGGTTTGAGTGAGTGGATAATTTAGTGGATTGAAAGGTGATGTTTTAAGAAATTGTTACGTTCAGAGTTGGAGTTTGCAGGATTTTAAGAAGGAGAGTAATACGTGGATAACCCCGGAGAAGGGCTTAGCTAGAATTTCCTGAATCTGATAAGGTCGTGTTGTAAGGTGTTATCTCCTTGAATCTTGACAGGCGTTTTAAGAGCATTGTCCTCTGTGCGTCGAATAAATGACAGTTCCAAAAAATGTGATCTGCATCTTGAGTGAGGAAACCGCATTGGCAGGAGGAATCTGCAACCAGATTACAGCGTTGGAGATTGTAATTAAGGGCGTAGTGACCACTTCTGATTCTGCAACAAGTTACAATGCTTTCTCTGTTAGACTTAAGCTTGTGAAACCAGGGTTTTGGCATGATCTCGTTGAAAGAGATAAAGTACCTTATCCCTTTGTGTCTACCTTGTGTTTTAAGTAGTCGAGAGGAACTTTCGATATATTTTCTTCGAGGAATCGAGAAGAAATCAGAGTGAGGGAGTTGTCTCTCGGTTAGTTTTCCTGCAGAGATGGCTGTTTTTGCTAAATGATCAGCGGTTTCATTCCCCAGAATGCCCGTGTGAGCCGGAATCCAGACGATGGTGTTTTCGAGGCCAGTCTGCTTGATGTCATAGAGCTTTTGTTTGATGGCGAAGATGATGTAGTTGTACGAATGGGCCAAGTTGACCGAGAGAAGTGCTTCAGTGACGCTTTTAGAATCAGTAAAGATAACAGATTTGTTGACTGGTTTGGAGAGTATATAATCGAGGGTGTAAAGGATGGCAAGGGCTTCTGCGGAGAAGATAGATGAATAAGGCTGAGTTTTAAATAATAACTGTAAGAGAAGGGAGGGGGAGTATATGGCAAATCCAACATAATCATTGGAATTATTTTTGGAAGCGTCGGTGTAGAAACATGTGCAGGAAGCAATCAGAGACTCATAAATTTCCATAAAAATAATTTGAGGAATAGAAGCGTTCTTAAGGGGTTATACTACCCAGCAAATTTTTTTTTTCAATTTTTTTTTATTGGCTTAAATGATGCATAAACTATCCAAGAATGATATGCAAACACTATTTTGTCGGGGAAAATCAATAAACTATTTTTAACAAGATAACTTCGAGCACTCCTAAACGTTTAAAAAGGCCGCTCACCTGCGCGCGGCATTTTAAATGTATTATAGCTTGTTGGTAATTTTTGTCGGTAGAAATCAATTTAATTTCTTCAAAATACATATAGATGGCATTAATAAATCTCAGAGAAGCCATATTGGACGCTACAATAACCGTTAGACTGCGAATAAACACGCAGTAAATAGTTCCACGTGCTACTCCGAGTTGCGCGCTCATAAACGTTACGGTAGTGTTTATTTTGTTTTCTATAAAAATGAGTGAGAAAATATATAAAAAAGGGACGAGAGGGTCCTCTACTCGTGCTAGTCGGAGCAGAATCGCCAATAGGAAGCCGCCCAACCGTCACAGCTTCGAAGGCGACACTGAAGATGTTTGTAGGCTAGCAAAAAAAATGAAATTTTCGACAGCAGAAAATGATACTGAAGTGGATGCTGCATTTGGCTATCGAATCATCAATTTTCTTGCTGTTTTTAGCACGTTGTCGCAAATTCTAGCATGTAAAAAATGCGGAGGTAGTGTGACTTTTTTGGAGTCGTGTAAACGTGGCCTTGGATTCAAGCTTGTTATTGTGTGTGAAAAGTGCGGGAATACAACTATTGACAGTAGCCCCTTAATTAATGGTCATGCTTACGATGTAAATAGACGGCTCACTTTGGCTATGAGACTTATTGGTATCGGAATTCGAGGAATAAGTAAATTTTACGCCTTTATGTGCCTCCCAAAACCGGTCTTTCAAAAGTCGTATGATGAAATCGTGCAAAGTATAGCTGTAGCAACGGACGCTGTAAAATCAAAAGTCTTACGGAAAGCTGCCGAGGAGGAAAAGAAAATTTCTGTTGAAAAAAGTCAGCTTGAGGGACTAACAGTGTCGGGAGACGGCTCGTGGAGAAAGCGCGGCTTCTCTTCTCTCTATGGCTTCGCAAGTTTGATTGGTTGGTTTTCAGGAAAAGTTATAGATATTTGTGTGAAATCAAAGTACTGCAAAGAGTGTGAATATTGGCAGAAAAAGGAGGGCACCGCCGAGTATGATGAATGGTACGAGTTACACGAACCAAACTGTAATGCAAATCATAGCGGAAGTGCAGGGAAAATGGAGCCTGACGCAGTCGTGCAAATGTTTTCGCGTTCCGAGTCCACGTATAACGTTCGATACGCCTATTACATCGAAGATGGTGACAGCAAAACATTCAAAAGTATTCAAGATACCAAGCCGTATGGTAATTTTGCTGTTACCAAGAAAGAATGTATTGGACATGTACAAAAAAGGCTTGGAACGAGACTGCGTAATTTAAAAAAAGAAGTTAAAAATCTTGGAGGTCGAGGCAAGTTGACTGGTAAATTGATCGATGAATTAAGTGTGTATTATGGTCTCGCTATACGTCGAAATACAGATTCAGTGGAGAACATGCGCAACGAGATCTATGCTACGTTATACCATAAAATATCTTCAGATGAAAAGCCTCAACACGACAAGTGTCCAGTAGGAGAAGATTTTTGGTGTTCTTGGCAAAGAGCGAAAGCCTCGCATACTCTCGCTGTATATACTCATAAACCGGCCATGCCAATGCAAGTTTTCGATGCCGTTCAGAAAATTTATGAAGATTTGACAAGAGACGATCTTCTTTCCCGTTGCTTAGGAGGTTTCACTCAAAATGCTAATGAAAGCCTCAATGCCCTCGTTTGGACTATTGCGCCAAAAGTAATTTCCAGCGATAAAGCAGTAGTTGATATCGCCACTGATATTGCTGTCATAACATACAACGATGGTTTTCGAGGACTTTTAGATGTCATGAGCACACTTCAGCTGAGGATCAGTTCTGAATTATACAATTTTATCATGGAAACTGATGAACGTCGAGTAAAAACCGCAAACCGCTCAGCATCAAAACATCGAAAAAGCGCTCGGAAGGACCTTACATCGCTCAGAAAAGAAGCAGAAGAGCAAAATGAATGCTTGGAAGGACAGTTATATGGTGCTGGGATAGCAGAGTAAAGGTAAAAAAATTGCCAAGCCGATATTTTAAATATTTCATATAGTAAATACGTTTTGAAACTTTAAATGCGTTTTTCTCAAAACTACATTTTTCAAAACTGCGTACACTGTAACTCGCTCAATTTTTGTCGAATTCACTTGAAATTTTAACTGTAACTTCTTAGATAAATTATCTAAGGAAGTACACACGCTTTTTAAGATTGATAAATAATTAAAATTGTTATTAACAATTTAGTCGATTTTTAGCGAAAAAATGAAAAAAAAGTTCAAACTGACGCCAATTTGCGAATTTTTGATAAAAATGTATAATCGTGGGTACTTCCCTAGCAAAACTAATGTAGATTAACGACAAATTTTTTTTTTGCTCTAGGTGCTGTTCGGAGAATGTTATGATGTACGCAGATTCGCTCCTCGGAAAAAACACATGTTCCGTTTACCACTTGCCATTTTGTATCAAAAGTTATAATAAAAAATTTTTTTATATACCTCAAAACATGTATAATAAAGCCTCAAAATTTCATTTTGATCCATTGAATAGTTTCCAAGAAAAAAATTCCCAAAAAAACGTTCATTTTTCAGTGCGCCTGGATAGTATAACCCTTAACTCTCTCTGCTTCGATTGAAGGCGTAATAACAATTGAAGGGATGAAGATAAGAGCTTTATAATCTATGGAGTAAACAGCCGGGTAGTCGAATTTCGTGATATAGTATTTTAGACGAAGGAGAGAGCTGAAGGTTTTGAACAGAAGAAATTTTTCGGAAGGATTAGTCTTTCGAGATCTGCGTGAATATCAGAGAAGTGCGAAAAGTTTGTCTATAAGTGGATGGGAGTCCAAAGCAAAAATTTTTAGAATATATTTAGAGGTAAGAAGTTCAAATCTAAATCTCAGGGGGCCTTCCCCGGTTTCCGCGAGAACAACATTCGTAGGAGTAGTTTTGCGTAGACCTAAGCAGGTGCGGAGAGCTCGTAGTTGGATATTCTCAAGGTGGCGCATGGAAGAGTGGTTATTAAAAGGAAAGGTGAGACAGCCATACTCCAGAGCCTCTTATTAAGGCTCTGTAGATATTCAAGAGAGAAGAGGGCGCTCCTCCCCACCAAGTGCCCCTCAACATATTGAGAATATTAAGAAACTTTGAGCAGCGGGTGGACAGAGTGCGAATGTAGCTATTACCAGCAAGACGGTAATCAAGAGAGATTCCGAGGAATTTACAAGAGTCGGTTGAATGGACAGTGGAGTTTGCGAGGTTAATAGAAAAAGCAAAAGAGTTTATATGCTTCTTGGTGAAGATCATTAAAGAGGTTTTCGAAGGAGAAACAGTAAGGCCTTTGGATGCAAGATATTTGGCGGCTTTGTTTGCCGAAAGTTCTAACTCCGCGAGCGCTTTATCGATGTGACGAGAGCTGACAAAAATGGCGATGTCGTCCGCGAACTGGATTATTTCACAGTCCTCCCCTATGAATTTATTTAATTTCGATATGTATATGTTGAAAAGGAGGGGGCTAAGTATGGAGCCTTGAGGGACTCCTTTGTAAGTATAACGTACATCAGAGATAACGTTAATTACGAACTGAAGCTTACGTGCATGGATGAGTGAGTAGATGAACTGACACAGAATGGGAGGCAAGCCTAAATCGACGAGGTCTGAGATAAGGATGGAGGGAATGACGTCAAAAGCGTTAGAAAGATCTAGAAAAAGGCAAGCAGTGGAGGTGCCTCGAGTGAAGCTTGTGTGAATTTCCGTGGTGAGGATAGACAGGTTGTCCTGGCATGACCGAAACTTGCGGAAGCCAAATTGTGTGGAGGGGAGTTTTTCGTATCTTTCCATCCACCAATCTATTCTAAGGAGAATGAGCTTTTCGAGAATTTTGAGGCAGCAAGAGGGAGTGAAATAGGACGGATATTTACCTGGAGTTGTTTTGGGAATGAGGTAGACCAGCGAGTGGCTCCACGACTCAGGGAACTCTCCGGAAAAGAAAAGGTCATTAAAAATTGACAGCAAAAGAGAAAAATATACGATGGGAAGGTTAGAGAGAGTGAAATAGTTTATTTGATCAAATCCAGGAGAGGACTTCTTGTTCTTAAGGGAGAAAATTACGTGTTGAAGCTCTTCAGGTTGAAAGGGATTGTCGAAAATGTGGCAGGAGTGGGGACGAGTTAGTAGAAAGCAGGTGGTTTGGGGAGTTTGTGAATACATGGGGGGGGGGGGGGGGAATAGAATTGATTAAGAATTGCGGGCGGCATGTCGCTACTGAGAGGAGGAAGAGATGAAGTTGAGCTGAGAAATCTATTTTTGAATCTTTTTACAATACGCCACAAGGCGGAAATACTGGCGGAGGAAGTGATAGACTCACAAAAAGATTTCCAGCCCGTGCGTTTAGCGTGCCGAAGGATTTTTTTGGTAAGTGCTTTCTGCTTCTTCAGATTGAGGTAGTTGAGGCTGGAAGGATATCTGCGGAACGCATTGAGTGCTTGTTTCCTAAGCCCGACGGCTTCAGAGCATTGCTCGTTCCACCAGGGAGCAGGAGGGCGAGTGAGTTGAGAAGGTTTAGCTCTGTTGTTTGATTTAGCTTTTCCACGACTTAGAGAGGGAGAGTCGTTAGTAGGAGGTTTGTGTGCAGAGAGTAAGGTGATAATAGTGTCTCTGAGAAAGTTACAGAAGATATCGTATTTTTCTGTTGGAGAGGAAGCTGAGTTAACGCGGTTGGAAAGAGAGGAGAAAGTGAGCGAGAAAGTAGTGAAGAGGAGTGATTTCCTATTGATCTTGGAGGTCTAAAGTTTGTGAGAGAAGAAGGATCGAGATTGCACAAGTTGATTCACAGTGATTAAAGATGGGATGTGATCGCTGCCTAGTGAGTCGTCAAAGGAGCTCCAGGTACAATAGGGAGTCAAGTCAGAAGAGACGAAAGTAAGATCAATAACTGAAGAATAAGATGGGTGGAATAAGAGATGTATGTGGGGGTTCTGTCATTGATAGAAGAGAGGAAAAAGTCATGGGAAGTGTCAAATAAGGAGACACCTGTAGAATCAGAGCGATTGCAGCCCCAAGAGGTGTGATGTGCATTAAAGTCTCCTGTAATGATAATCTGTCCAGAGGTTGGAATTGAGTTGAAGAGGTCTTCCCAGGCAAAGGCGGAAGAACTGGATGGATGTCTATAAATGGAGACAATAAAGATGTCAGTGTGAAGAGAAGAGATTTTGGCTGCGACCACCTCGAGGATCCCGTCCGGGGAAAAAATAGAATCAAGTTTTGTGAAAGGAATAGATTTGTTGATTGCCAGCAGGACACCACCAGATTTGTTGGAAGGACCATCCTTCCGTAGTATATGGAAATTATTTAGAAAGAATTCCTTATCTGGGGAGAGCCATGTTTCAAATAACACGAAAATGTCAAATTGATCACTAATTTGAACGAGGGAATCCCTTTTGTTGGATATGCCGTGACAATTCCATTGGAAGAGCATAAGGTTATTGTAAGTTGTCTTGTTGGCCATACTAGATAGCCATACTAAATAGGTGGAGGGGGGGGGGAGAGTTGTCCGAGTTAACGGGAAGATTGCAAATAAAATGGACAATAGTGGGGACAAATTCGGGAAAATCGAAAGAAGTAAGTAGAGGTAACAGTTCAATAATGAGCCGTACAATGTGTTTAAGAGCATTCTGAGGAGTAATTGGGGGATTTGAAGGGGAAGAGTTAGATAAAGTAGGAGGGTTATCAGAGTGGTTTACAGGGACAGTTGAGGAAGTAGAGGGGAATGCAGGAAATGATACGTTAGGGTAAGGAGGCTTATGAGTGGGAGGGGGAAGGCGGGGATTTTTATTCAGGCGTGTAAGGGCAGGGAGAGAGGCAGAAGATTTACAAGAAACTCTGTCACAGACAGGAATGCAAAGGGGGGGGATGGGGGCTAGGAGAGGAGGAGAGAGTCTTAGCGGCTTGAGCGAAAGAGAGATGCGGTAAAGTGTAGTCAAACGAGGGGGATGAAGCGTGTAGATTGGGGTCCGGGGGACGAGGTGTGAAACGGGAAGAATTTAGTTTTGGAAACTCTTCAGAGGACGACGAGAAGGAGGGAGGGGTTCTGTTACCTTTAAAGATCTCTCTTGCATCCAGTAAGGAGATATTCCTGTAAGCTGCGTATTTTCTTATTTCCTTCTGAGTAAGAAATTCTGGGCAGGTGAGTGAGTCTGCTCGATGCTCGCCTTTGCAGTTTGCGCACTTGGGTGGTCGGTGACTCTGATGGCAATGTTCCTCTGAGAAGGAGTGACCTTTCTCTCCACAATGTGAGCAGCGAGGCTGGCTTTTACAGTTGATCTTAATGTGTCCAAATCTATAACATTTATTGCACCTTGAGACTCTTGCGACATAAGGCGAAACAGGGTAGCTGACGTGAAATAAATATATGTGTTTAGGAATTTTCTGCCCCTCAAAGGTAATCGAAACTGAGAGAGACAGAGAGTAAGAGACCACTGATGGAGAATCAGACTGAGAATCCAAGTAAGGAGATGTCGTGACTCTATGATTAAGTCTGCTTACTGCAATGATCTTAAAAGGACTGACGATGCTCTCTAAAATTTGCTGGTCTGTGAATTCAGGAGGGACGTCTCTGATTATTCCCTTCCTAGAGGTGCGAAAGGGAGGAATGAAGGCCTCTAAGTCCTTCTCAGATAATTTCCTATCGCTGACTAAAGCATTTGCTGCTTCTTTGGATTTGAAATAAATAGATGCCTTGGAGAAACCTGCTTTTTTGATTTCTAGAATGTCGTTTATGCCAAGTTCGCACACGGCTCTTCCTACGAAAATGGGATGCAGCTGAGTTTTCGGGTTGGAAATGCGTTGTACGTGGACGTCGAACGGTCCAGCATTGTCATCAGAGTATCTATTATTTCGAATAGTGTCTGTGAGCGATATCACCGATCCAGAGTTCGGTTCTTGGGCTGTAGACTACTATCTGTGGGATGTTAGACTACTATCTGTGCTAGAGCGTGAAATTTTAGAAGAGGCTGGTAGAAATTCTTTTTCTATAGGCCGCTTGCCTAAAATCTTTGTGCGAGTCACAGGCGAAGAGCCTGACTCAGTAATTAATGACTCGAATGCGGCAGACATGTCGGGATCTTCCAAATCCATATTTGAGGATATTCTCGACTATTGAAATAAGTGAGGTTGTACTTACAGATAGTAAGACGATGCAAAATCCTGCGCTGATATGTGAATCCGATAGATTCCTTTCTCCGGGGAGGAAGGGGAGGAAGAATAGGAATGCGAGGGAAAATGCGTCGCAATGGCCGAAGCCGGGAACAAAGGTGCGAGAACGCCCGCTCTATTATTGGTCTTCCACTTGTAGAGCCGCCGAAAATTTATATGTCCAGAGGAGGCACACAATAAATGAATCAAATACAACTGGTATTTGACGCTCGAAGTAGCCCAGAAATGGACTGACTTGTG